TAAAATGTTTGCTCTCTGTATTAAAGCTCTTAACATATTTGGAATAGTGTACCGTGTAAGTTGTGAAGCAGATGTTAATTTCCTTTTCTTGTTGTCCCCATGTGGATGACCACTACTGCTGGCTGCGCTTAAAGGGTAAGCCTTTCTTATCTCAACTGGCCACCATGCCACTCTGTCACATGCAAAGGTCAATACACATAAGGGCTAGTTTCTAGGCTGCATATTTTGTCATACTGTTTACATAATGTCTACTTCTATAGAATATATGACACTATGTACAATAAAACATCCTATCATGTAAGGCAGGTCTCCTCAACCTCTTTACAAGTATCAAGGCTATTCTTAGTCCTTTGGGCTCTCACATAAATTTTAATTTCTGCCTGTCATGTTCAACAAAACCTCCCAAGGAATGTTCTTTATTATTATTATTTTTGTGTGAGTGTACCGTCAAATCAGATCTGACTGGTACAGGAGATTGTCCCTCCTTTCCCGGCAGAGCATCTGGTGGATTCGAACCGTGTGCCTCTGGGATTGTAGTTGCAGCTCCTTGCCACTAGGCCACCAGAGCTCCCCCCAAGGAATGTTCTTGGAAAATGCCTAGAATCTACACATGAATTTAGGGGGAAACACACATCTTTAGAACCTTTTACTTAACACTTCTCATGAACATACGGTTATTTGTTCCTTCCTTGCTTCAACGGCACCCTCAAGTCTCAAATGAGGCCTCCAGCATTGCCTTCCTCAACTATCCTCACCCACTCAAGTGTTGTTGTTGTTGTGTGCCTTTGAGTCGGAAGTGACTCACACCTTATCTTCCAGCAGGATTTTAGAGGCTGTACATCAGATGGAAGGAGACTGCCCATCTTTCTCCAGAAGAGCAGCTGGTGGATTTGAATCGCCTGCCAGTGGGCTGGCAGTGCAACGCCTAACCAGTAAGCCAGCAAAGTGCTCTAGCTGAAGTATGATAATGTTTTGTTGTGGTTTTTGTTTTGTTTTGTTTTGTTTTGGCAAATGTTGGAGATTAATGTATTAGTCCAAGATGACACGGAATGAACTGGAGGTCTGAGAGAGCAGCACTACAGACTCTATCAAGAAAGTGAGAAGAGTATTATTAGAGTGGGTTTGACATACCAAGTCTGTGATATTTGTCTGTCCTTCTGGAGGAGTTCCCTGAGTGCATGTTCTTCAAGAGAGAGCCAACCAGCAGGGGATGCTGTCTGTGTGAAATTGCCCAATCACACTGTAAAGACTAAGAAGTAACTGAT